ATGTAATTTTTGAATAGAAAATACTTTTTATTTCAAGGTCTATGCATTTATAAAGCAAAAATTCCTTCTAGGCCACTGACAATAATCACATGTCTAGCATAAATATGTCTAGAAATCCACAATTTATCCTTCTCAACTAAAAATCATTTAAACCCGTGAGGAGGAAAAAGAAAAAAACCCAAGTAAATGTAACAACATGGAACAAGTGTGAATTCCACTACCATGTTGAATTATAATGTATAAAATATGGGGGAAAATGTAACAGATCCAATTCCATTTCTAACAAAATTATGAGATCAATGAAATCCTCTATCTCCAGATGATGTTCAAGAGCCATATGGAGAGTTGATAAAAAGCAGTATCTATGTAGGAGAAAGTAGGAACAATACAGTTAAGCCTTTTATTTTTCCAGAAATGATCTTTTTATCTATCAGTGCTTCACAATTTTCCATGGGATTCAGTCTTTTACCACTGTCTGAGGTCTCACCAGTAGGAGGAAATCTGAGATTTTTCTTCTTCAAGGTGCTGGCATTATAATATTTCTTGACACCCCGCACAGCTAGAGGATGCTCCATTGGCCTTCCTTTGAGGGCCCTGAAGGTTTGTGGTAACTGAGTCCCCTGCTCTGCCATGCCCTAACAAAGAGAAATTCAGACATGAGTTGTGGTTTGATGCTCTAATACTATCAATTTTCAGAGATAAACATCAACATACATAAAACAAACCCATACACATAATTTTAGATTTGACTAAAATCTAAATGGTCTCATTTTCTAATACTCTACTTTTCCATATTTATTTTGCAAATCAACAGGAAAAATCCAACAGAGGAATGGGAATGGAGTGCTGGGTTTGTTTGGGGAGAGGGACAGAAATGTCAAACCTGTATTTCCTCTTGTTCCTCAGCCACCACAGTAGCTCCTAATTGAAAAGACTTAAGCCAAGAGCCTCAGTCAGGGGACAGCAAACAGGAAGAAGGATGCTTGGTTATGTCTGGTTCTGCTCTAGGCTTTACACAGATAGAGAATACAGGGCAGCAGGCCCATTCCAACTTCAGCACTTCAAGGAATACAAATGTAGGTATTTGAAACCAAGAACCCACTATATACAGTGTTTACTGTTTCAGATCTTTTTAGGC